CCATGGGGTCTACCCTCATGTGATAAGAAGAAATAAGTACTTTTATGTATTCTACCTGAAGATATAAATCCTAAATCCTAGCGTCTTACTCAACTTATCTGTCAACCCAGATACATTTCAGCTGCAGGCTGTTGTCTATATGCGTGTTATTTTTCCACAGGGTATTTTTGAACTTTGGAGAGAGACGGGGTCGCTGTGTCCCTCATGTCTTTACCCATGACACCTAATTTAAAGGGAAAATAATAAAACACAAGACTACAACAGTTTGTGTCACAATACATTTAATCTTTAAACACATCATATCCGCCACTCACATGCATCAACAGTAATCTGGAGTTTTCAAGCACCAGCAAATATCAAGACATTTGGAAACACTGATTAGTCTGGACGAGCGGAAGTGGAGACGTTTGGAAACGATGATGTGGTCATCCACATCGCTTCCTGATTGGTTCTTCTCAGTCTTGAGGTTTGCTAACATTTACCGTCGGTACCACTTTCACCTCGTCGGTGGTCCAAGAAAATGAATCAGTCGTCTTCTGAAAAACCTGACGATTGTGCGCAATAAGGGATTCTCTTATAATATCTTAAGTATTTCTGGGCAAACAGTGATCCGATGTATTGTGAGAAGGTCTTGATAGACACAGAGATTGGACTGAAACATGACACCTAACTTTAAGTCCACCTCTTCCTTCTTTAACCTGCTTAAGACAAAGGGCTGAACCGAGTCCGCTTACATCTTCTCATGTCAAACGTAGAGACGATTGAAGAGCTTGAACGAAAATGAGAACAAAGAAGCGAAAGGGAAAATAGCCAAGAGCAAGTAACACTGCAGGAGGAGATAGGAGGCGAAATAAAGCGACGGCTGTAATCTATCCCATTCAGGACGCAGGAGTGGGATAATGATAAGACGAGCTAACTAGGCCTTTAAATAAAACATATTCAGTCCTCGCTGTGGCTTGAGACGCTCCACGTCCTCACGCCGCCTCCTCTCGGGGCCCTCTCAATCTGAAAGAGCAACTGTAATAAATTATCTTTATCTTGAATCCATTGTACCAAGAATGCTGACTCCTCAGGGACGCTGCAGGCTCGTTTGGAGCCGGCGCTTTTGTGAAGCACTCGGCGTTTCATGCACTACGGGACGGTAATGAATCCTAACACAGACAGTGATGGAAAGCTCGAACAGGTTACATGAGGTAGCGTGATGGAGGAAACGTGGACGTGAATGATTCAGGGCTGAGATCTCTCACTCAGTTTGTCTTCTATTTTCCTTAAAACATTTGTTACCTTAAAGAAAAGGGGAATTGATCCAAATCATCTTTTTCTATTTATATTAGTTCTGGTGTCATTAATTTTCCCGTTGACTCTTGTATTTTTGTATGTTCCCAGGGAGAGCGTTCTCAATCGAGATCATCCTCTGTCTTTCTGTGTGTATTTGGCTTTGGTCTCTCCCCTCTCACACTTGTTAATTAGTGTGGTTGATGTTAATTTGGTCCACAGAGATGAACAGCAGGCAGGAGTTACGTCCTCACACCTTGCTCGGGAAAAGAAAGGTCATGTTCTGCATGATCGAAAGTGAGAAAAAAAACAAGGATCACACGATAAAACCTCACCCGGGATAGAAGACCTCTGTCAATGTTACCCAAAGGCAAAGCAAACAACATGCCTGGACTATTGCTGCTCCAGTAAACAAGCTAACAGCGAAGCATGATGATAAAAGTGTGCAGACAAGAGCAGTGAAGATAATTTTATCCACAGTAACTTGTGAATGTTTGGGGGACACAAACAAACGGATACTTAAATAGCACATGATGCATCTGAATTCCCGAAAGGAGATATTTTTTGTTCATGTGTGCATGAACATGAGATAATTATCTTGTGAGCACAGGAGAATATTTTCTATCTTGTTAACAAAGGATATTTTTAGAGGTTCAGTAGAAGGCACAAAGATTTGTAGAAGTAGAATTACAGGTTTGTTGGAAATTAGCTGCAAGCTCCTGTGTGTGTGTGTGCGTGTGTGTGTGAGCGTGTGCGTGTGTGAGAGAGCTAAAAAAGAAGCTGCAGAGTTGGTGATATTCTTGACCCCTTTCATATTAGATCTGGTTCTTAGATTCACTGCTAATATGAAACTATTGATAAATTCAGCATTAAAGCTGAAAGTCAGCGCTTTTGCCCCATTTACTTCAAATCCAGTGAAAGCAATGAGCAGCTGCACCAAGACAAAACAATGGAGAACTTTAAATAATTGAATAAAGAACTTGTAAGCATCATAATGTGACCAGAAAGAAAGGGTGGACATTACTTTCAATGGAGAATCAAGAGGAAAAAGAAAATAGAACTTTTAAAGGAGCATGTTTAAAAAAAAAAAAAGATTCAGCTGAAATAAACATATAGAATAATATATTCCACTACTAATTTAATTAGTTTTCCTTTTAACCTACATTCATTAACTCATTCTCCTTTACTTAACGTTTATTTAGCAGAATGCCAATATAAAAAAGCACATCACTGTAAATAAGTTGGGATGCAGCCGTGTTATTGGACTTGTCTTATCATTGGGGAGTTGATATTATTTGGCAGAAGAAGGAAACATACCTGGTATAGCAGAGGAATGAAATACGTGTGTGTGTGTGTGTGTGTGAGAAAGATATTTTATGACTTCGGTTGCAATTACCTGCTGATCATTGACAGTGATGTGTAGTCAGGGCTCCTATATGAGACCAGTGGCACAGACATCCGTGATCTACACCTTCATTTTCATTCTGAGTGACACTGACAATCTTCTTCGCCATCCGTTGCTTCACAGAGCGTGTGTGTGTTTGTGTGTGTTGTGTGAGAAGGAGTGCGTTTGTTTTCAATCTCTGCTGTCTCTCTCTCTCTCTTTCTCTCTCTCTCTCTCTCACTGAATTTCACAAACACGTAAAGCACAGATGAGTAGATGCCAACTCTGCTTAGGGCTGTGAATTCTAATTCCTTCCAGCATGTTGTAAGATAGCTTCCATGCTGAAATTATATCAGGCCCATGTGTGTTTGTGTGTGGGTTCCCCTGTGGTGTCCATTAGAGAGACGCTTTGTTTTCCAACATTGATCCCTGTGGTCATCGCGAAGACGTCTGCACCTCTGGAACCGGACTGTCAGTCAGAGCGATTGACAAGGACGTCTGTTAAAGGAGAGAGAGCTCTGATTGTTAAAGTCAATTTTACTTTACTTGTGTGGAGCTCAGTTAGGAACGAATGGCGTTTGTGTAGTTTTGTATTCTCACCCTTTCCATTACATGTCCATGTTTCATGCAGATTCAAGTAGATCGCGTACTCTGTGTACTTTGCTGCAGATCTGGTTCCACATGCAGATGAAATATCGACAGTGAAAATCTTTTCGGCTGTAGAAACAGACCAGTGCTGTGCTTGTTCTGATCGTGCGTGTTTGGAAGCTGACGTTTTCTTCGGCACAGAAACAACTTCTCACACGATTTATAGACTGTAGCAGCAGTTTAATCTGTTTTGGTCACACATGGCCATTTAATGATTATTCCTTGTATCACAGAATCCGGCATCTTCAGGGGACGGATATTCATGAGTGTGTGTAATTTGGTGCAGATTTGAATTCTACTTTTCATGTGGCACCATCATCAAGTCAACATTTCAATCCGACAAAATCTTTCATTGATGATCTGCATCAGCTTCAACTTGAGTTCACTGCTCGTTAGCAAATGTGAGCCCCTCAAGGAGCCCCATACATTATTATTCTGTTTGTGTGCATGTTAGCAGCATGGATCAATACATGTATGTATCATTGTCTGCTTGTCTTCCCTCCTGCACTCACCCCGCCTCCCCCCCTTCTTTGTGTTGCCAGGGCGTCATCCAGGATGTGAAGCTGATTTTCGCCCCCAACGGGTACATCACACAGTGTCCTAACCTCAACCGCAGTAAGTATAATGACAAAGTCGCTGGTGGTGCTCTGAACACAGCTGAGGGCTGAGGTATAAAGGGAAAAAGCAGCCTCTCCATTACAGTGCACCATTAGGAAATTGGATTGTAATGAGCGATGTGTTATCTGGCGGTGACCTCACAGACAAAGTCTCTTCCTCCAGTCATCTTCATTCTGATCTAATTCCGACTCCTCTCGCCCGCCACCTTGTTCCTCCATCTGTTTACTGTCGGACGGATGAAGATACGAGGTCACCGCTGTGCCACTGTCTCTGTCACCGATCAATAAGGCGTGTAATCACACCGTGTTGCTTTATTATTGATACTAACACCAGCCACAGGCCGAAGACAAAGAGTAAACAGATGTGTGAGGCTTCCCTTGTGTTTGCTGTTGGCCACCATGAGCAGAGTCCAAATGAATACAGTCTGGGTAACGATTTTTTTCTTGTTCTGCTCTGTTTATCTCCTGTCTAATTTATTCCCTCTTGCTCTCTCTCTCTCTCTCTCTCTCTCTCTCTCTCTCTCTCTCTCTCTCTCTCTCTTCTTTTCTTCTCTTGGTTTGATGCTTCCTCTTCCTGCGTTGAGCTTGTCCGACCTGCAGCGATTTCCTGAGCCTGGTGCAAGGCATCATGGACCTTCAGGAGCTCCTGGCCAAGATGACCCTGAAGGTAAAGACAAGCAGGAGAACAAACAGCTTCCCACGCAGCAAACAACCATCACCAGCTCACATCAACACAGAATAACACAGCAAAACAAGACTTGACAGAGATTAAAGAAAGAAAGTGAATATGCAACTATGTCAGGAAAAGAAATGAAATTATCCGGTTAAAAGCTGCAGCCTTGCAAACAAATAAACACATAAATGGAAATGAATAAATTACATCCTTCTCCACTGCAGCTGCAGACAGAAGAACCCTTTGATTCAGCTGTTGACGCCTTCGTTGAAGTTCATTGTTCTTTCTCCAACAAAGTCAGCGTCTCTTCTTTGTTCAACGAGGACGCTGCCCGACAAAGAAGTAAAATAAAAGATAGATGTTATTGTTATGAAACGGAAACAAAATGAACCTTAATCTCTCCGGAGAAAATCTGATTGTTGTGTCCGTCATTATGGTGAGTGGGAAGTGGTTCAAAAATAACACTCATTCAATGTGAGAGGGAATCGCACACAGAGGATCACTTGATCCCCAAAGGAGTAAAGAAAAGATGGAGTTTTCTTTTTGAATATATAGTTGCATATCACAACAGAGGGACGTGTGAGTGCACGGAGTAGCTACTTGATTATTGAATAAAAGTACTAAAGAGTAAAGCTGAAAAACTTTTATGTTCTTGTTCCAGAGCTTTTGAGTGTATTACATAGTCTTTATCAGCAGATTGAGTTGAATTGCGTTTGAAACTGGCCGAGAAAACAAAATAGTTGTGAGTATTAAATGGTATAAAATCTATTTAAGCAGTATTACAGTATACATTTTATTGACCAATCCTCAGTAACAGCAAAATCTTAATCAAACAGGTTTATTTGTTGTTACTACTAAACCTGGTGCAGGTATGAGTCAGGGAAATGTCCAATTTATAATTTAAATTTCTTGATTAGGTTTGTTTAACATTTGGAGATTGTTTGGTTTTTGTTGATTTCTTAGAGAATAATTAATGGATTTTAATGAGAAATCTCACAGATTTCATAAATGTGTACAATTTGGTGCAAATCCCCAAAACATCTAGATCCAGTGACTGCTTGGCCGTGGTGGAGGTATGGCCCCCGACTGAGTGCCATTGTAGTTGGCATATGCAGTTCTAGGACAATATACACCCTATGTGTGAATATCTGGTTGACATTTAAAAATCTTTATTCTCGGTAACACACACACACAGACACACACACACACACAGGTGTGCAGAGGGTTCAAAAAAGGTGTCAGTCAACTACATTGGCACAACAGGAGGCTAAAAGGCAATGTGCACTGTGCCCTAGAGCCATGGGGGAGAGCTTGAACCATTTATAAGACTTAACATCTGCATAGCTACCTGTGTGTGTGTGTGTGTATGTGTGTGCATAAATGAGAGCTCTGAGGTGGGAGTGATTGAGGCGAGTGCATCTCAGCGGGCGTGTCAGCTATGGAATGTTTTTTGGTGTAAATAAAGGGTAAATTGAAGAACATTACTCGACTGCTGTGTCAGCACCGCCTCCTTCACACGAACGCACCTCCAACCATTGCCACCCGACTTTATCGCTCACAGGAGCTGCAGCAGGGGGGAGGCAGTCATCACCTGCTCTGAATGACTCTCTTCCTCTATGCTGTGGAGAGGAATCTAGCGTGAGGTGAATAATTGCCTGGTCCTGAATGTGTGATCTGGAGTGTCAAGGTGAGGTGAAGTGACAATAAGCCTTGTTGTGTGTGGATTAGTATGAAGGTACCTGCTTGTTGTAGACCTGTGTTTGTGCAAAGGAAGCACAAGCTTGTGTTTACGCCGAAACACATTGAAGAAATGGCTCAGATCCTGATAACATCAATACAGGTGCTAATCCGATTTATTTCCTCTGAAAAAGGATAAATATTGGTTAATCGCACTTTAGAAAAAGAATTGCTTTTATTTGTTGAGTTTCCCAAAGAAATAGTCCTCTTATACACAAGGAGACCAAATATTTTGAAAGACCAAATAGTAAAAACTCTAAAGATCCAAATCCTACCAAAGAATATCCCATTAATTTGCAAAATGTACAACACGCAGCCATTTTCTAAATGTATGTCTCCACACTAAGAGAGAAGGATTCCACTTGAGAAGTTAAACCAAGAAGCGTAACGAGCAACACTACAGAGGATCTGATCACATTTAGGATTTTCAGTGTGTACGTTTCCTTGACATGAAGTAATTATCAAATTTTAGCCACCAAAGCACAAAAAATCCCTCGTAAATTGTGTGTGAATGTTTTTGAATGATGCCTTGGGAAATCTGTGAAAATGTAAAAAAAAAAAACACTCAAATCTAAAATTCAATTCTGGTAGGAACACAATTTCTGTCAGAGCCCGACACCAAACGCGACAGACGTTCTGGCGTGTGTGAAATCTAAAAATTGTCATAATTATCAATAATTCAGATCATTTGACGTGTCAGTTATGGGTTTGTGTTGCCACACTTGTTCCAGGATCCCCCCAATTTGTCCACATCCCATCCTTCCGCCAAGTTTCATTGAAATCCGTTGAGTTGTTTTTGTGTAATTCTGCGAACAATCAAACAAACAGACAGGTGGAAACATTGCAGAGTTATATAATTGCTCATCCGCCCGACACTGACAGATCGTCAGAGATTTGACGTACCTTCAGAAACCCCTGAGAAAGAAACGTCCTTACATTGTCTACACCTCCTGTTTATTTTTCTCATGTCTCTCTGCCTCATGTATCAACCCTAAGAGATACGTACCTATTAGCCTCTGACTCCTTTGTTCAGCATCATGGTGCCATGTGATGCTCACGCTGTACAGGAGAGGTTTTCCTCTGTGGCGCCTCAAGGCAGCCTCCCTGCTTTGAAATTGCATTTCAAACATTTTGTTTGGGGCTTTGACAGGACACTTCTCCACTGCTCACAGCTTCCACAGCTCTCTCCGGTCGCCAGCCAGCCGGGATTCCTCTAAATGAAGTAAAAAGCCTCACTGACATCCAGCCTTTCTCTCTTTTTTTAATCTGTTTTTAACCGGAAAGCCTTTGTCATTTCGTGGCTCTTTCTGACACGGTGGCCTGGGAGCAGAGGAATCGGAGGGGGCGGAGTGAACAGAACAGCCTTTAGTTTCTGAAGTAGACCTACAATTATCAAGTTGACCCTCGCTGCTCAGATCAATTGGACCTTTTAGAGTTCCTTCAACCTGCACCTCTCAAACTGGACTCTCATTACTTATATATAGGTCAGGCAGCACCCGTATTTCACACAGATTTATGAATTACCACTGAAGGCTCAGAGCCGAGGTCTGATGGAGACAGTGGACACAAAAACCCTCTGTGTAGATTATAGATACAAACTGAACTTTGAAGGACGTTTATTTCAAAAGTTCAATCCAGTGACGGATGCATTGAGAAAGGGGTTCTTTCATAAGACCATTGTTTGAGGTGCTACAAGTCACAGTCAGACATTATGGTAAATTACTGTACAGGCATACATCTGGAAAAAGAAGTCATTTTGAATTTAAATATTTATGTCTGTTTGTTTTCTTCGTCATCAACTCTTGCAGGAATGGTTTTCAGGTTGTCTTTGGGATTTCAACCAACCAACCAACAAATCAAACAACCAAACTAGCCTCTCTCCCTAACCTTCAACCAATTTGTCTCTTTGCCATTCACCAACCTCAACCTCCTCCCTCCGTGTGATATACAACCACAAATCTTGTTCACTGGAAAAAAAACCTGCTAGCTTTGAATATAATCCAGGTAGCATGTATGTTTTAAAACACATTGGCTGGAAGAAAGTGTAGTTTATACAACGTGAGTAAAGAGACAGACGACAGGGTCATCGTATCTTCTTATTCCATTAAATCTCATGGTTTGACCCTTGACACCTTCTTGTGACATTTGTCAGTCAAAGATGCGTCTCCTTTGTCAAGAGACGACCGTGTAGAGCGCTCATTATGAATTTATCTGGAGAAGGAGGACTTATCAGTGTGTAGGAATAAAAGAGGGGTGAGGCAGGATGGGGACTGTCAGTCCTGTCTATCATCTCTCAATAGATTATAGCCTGAGGTGAGGAGCATGAGCTGAATGATGATCACTTATTATTCTGTGGGCTCTTCTAACGAGTGGCTCCCGGTGGAGCAGTTCTCTGTGAAAACCGAGCGAGGGAATGCCAGAGGGGGAGGGGGGGTGGACTGAGGGCTGAGGGGTTAACCTGCACGCACGCTGAGACTTTATGATTTGTCCTCAGTTGAACTACGCAGAGTCCAGGCTGACCCAGCTGGAGGGCTGTCACTGCGAGAGGACCTGCAGCGCCAACAGCCTGGTGTACCGGGATAAGGAGCTGTGGGTGGAGCCCGAGAACTGCAGGAACTGTGCATGTAAGGTCAGTGTCACCCTCAACTTTAAAAACATCAGATGAGGAGGCCCCGGCTCTCATCTCTTTGAATCATCCCCCTGTTGTTGTGAGCCTCTGCCATCCAGGGCAGTTTCAGTCTCTCCAGGAGACATATTGCATTCACGGTCATGTGCGGTCACCGTGACCTTTTCCTGTGACCACTGAAATCTAATCAGTTGTTCTTTGAGTCAAAGTCAGAATTGGAAGAAAATACTCAAATGCAAATTTGAGGAGTATTTTGAGGCATCGTTAAAGGTTCAGTGTGTAGAATTTAGTGACATCTAGAGGTGGAGTTGTATGTTGCAGCTGAACACCCCTCATCTCACCCTCCCCTTCCACACATGAAAGAGAACCTGCGGTGAACTTCAGTTTTTCCAGTTTGGACGACAGTAAAAAAACATGTGAATATAGAGTTTTTAAATATAAAGAGTCCGTTCTATGGTAAAGAAAACAACAATTCATCCAATTTAGATGAAACACAACAGTGAAAACATCGCTCAGATTATTTTATATTCAATTTCTGTCAAAAATCCCTTCCACCTAAATCTCACACACTGAACCTTTAAGATAACAAGTTCATGAGGCAAAACGGGTTTAGTAAGGTCACAGTGACTTTGACCTCCAAATCCAATCACTTCCTCCGTGAGTCCAAGTGAACATTTCCCCCATTTTTGAAGAAATTCACTCAAGACTTTCTTGAGATAAAACAAACAAGTCATACCTCCGACCACTGGCGGTCACTTGAATGTTAGTCTAACGCAAGATTAGTCTAAACTTGTTCCCTATACAGGTTGAGGTGGTCCGTAAAAATGTGTCTACAGAGGAAGCAATTAAAGGCTTAGTTTATTAATCCCTTAATTAAGTCCCCTTTTATCTAAGCTCAGTCAAGATTGTTAAAATCATCTTAATCCACAATGTCCGACAGCATCATCTTAAAAACAGAAGTTAAAGGAAGATTAGATTGAGTTTGGCTAAAACGTCAGTGTCAGGAAATCCTGTGCCATATATATATATATATATATATAGATAGATTATATATATATATATATAGGTAGATTTCCTCTTTAATGGAAAGTCACTACAACCCACCACTCTCAACACTTCCTTAACTTGAGGTCCCATCACATTTCACAGTTTCCCAGCCCCTGCATCATCTCCCCCTGCCCGCCCCCTAATAAGCGCCCCCCTAATAAGCCTCTCTGCCTGCGCTCATACATAGGAGCCAGATTTCGAAAATGTGTTGAATCAGGCCATCCCGGCCCCTTGGGGAAATGGCCTTGCCGCATCATTGCACATCAAGCACAGGGTGAAGTTTATTTGGTCTGATTTCTTCCCGTGGACACACCATTAACTGATAACTGCGGCTTCCTGGGGGAACCATTTCCGATGACTCACGAAATGAAGAGGCGCACGCAGAGAGAGAGATATCAGCTTCAAAAATGAAGGCAGTCCTTCAGGGCCCGAATAACTACCTGCTATCAGCCGGCTGCTCAATTTCAGTATCAGCCATCCAGCGCACGATGATGAATCTGTTATCTAGGCTGTATCACATTATGATTTTTTTTTTTTTTATGATATAGCTTTCAGATTTTAGGTTGCAGTCCTGAAGGCGGTATTCGGAACAGTTTTGGATTGGTTTGCATGGTGCTAACTCTGCTGGAGCGTTGTCCGGCTGCACTGTGAGCTGCATTGAACATAGCCTGCACAGGTTTTACTGTTGGGTTTGGCAAAAGAGGGAGTTTGCTTCCAGATCAAGGTTTAAAATTGAATGACTGCTTGTGAAAATGTAAATTGAGACATAGAGGGAAGCGGGAGACATGTTCAGTGTGAATTTTTTAGTAGTGCCACAGGCAAGAGTCGTACGTGCACGCTGAGCGTTGGATTTTTCCCTCTGATTCTTGCATGTTTTCTGTGGGAAAAAGGAAATAAAGAAAATCTGTGTTTTCTTTCAGAACGGTGTAGTGGAATGTCGCAGGATTTTCTGTCCTCCGGCAAACTGCTCGGAGGATTCGCTGCCTGTGCATGTAGATGGGACCTGCTGCAAGAAGTGCAGACGTAAGTATCTGCGGCACGTGTTCGGAACAAAGGGGAAGCACATCCATTTTTGACTGAATGGTGAAGCAGCAGAAGCAGGATGTTCGCTGATGGTGACGACGGCATCAGAACATCAACTGTGAGACTGTGAAGGGAATTTTCTTTCAGTCTTTCCCAAACCAAACACGGAAGAGCAATAGATAATGTGATGGATAGAATCTTACTCAGGTGGAAGTGAACTTACATCATTTTTTATTATTTAGAGAAATTCTCCTTGAATTTGTATAAAATCAGCTGGAAATGGATTCTTCAACCTAATCATGGAGTTTAAGGATCAGTATTAAGCTGCGCTGGCTACAGATTATATAAAAATCTGTCTTTTCTTTAAGTCTGAGTGAAACTGAAGATCCATTACTTCAAAGGTTCCTGCACAATTTAAAAAGGTGTCCGTTCTTCCCACACTTCCCAGTTTGCATTTCCTGTTTCGCTCCAACTTCCGTCAGTTGTCCAGTGGAGACACTGCTCCTCAAATGCCTGGAAGCTGCAGCCTCGCTCTCATACTGGGCCCCACCCCCCCCAAATTCTTTATTCCAGAAATGTGACATCACACCCTTTTTCAGGGCTAAGGGTGAGTACAGTTGGTGGAAAGCTTGTTTGCTTTTGAAGGTGCCAGTAAAGCCACAACCACTGTGGATATGGCTTTTATTTGCGAGAAACCGGAGTAAACTTTCTGCAGCAGCAAAGATCACAGTCGCCTGATTTCCAGGGAAGCTGAAATGGAAGCACCATTTCTCGTATAAAGCACACGGGTCTGCTAACTGCTCACAGACCCACGAACAACTGTGTCTCTTGCTATACTGGAAAAACACAAAATCCCCAAGGTATAGTCCATCTTTGAATAATTCCAGCCCTCCTCTGCCTCCCTCCATCCCTGCGCTAAATCTTTCTTCCTCCTCTTCCTCCCCTGCGAACATCAGAGCTCTGGCAGAGACGAACGATGGAGCAGCGCTCCAGAGCTGCGACTGAGCGATCCGTGGTCTTGCCCTCTAGAGAGGAGAAAAGCAGGACGTCATATCATATGCTTCATTTTCTATTTCTGCTTCATCGCCGGAGGAATATGTAGAAGGGCCTCCTCTGTTGTATTCTTAATGCGCTGATACAGTTCCTCTCCACTTATGCACACTAGCCAAGAACAAGTTTGTTTCTAATGGAATTAACTATGCAGAACTTCAGGCTGAAACTTTTTTTTCGCAGGATATTTTTAAAGCATTACTCAATATTGTTGAAAGTCCTGCAGGAGCTGATATCACGAGCCAAGGGAATATTATGTTTCTGGTGTTTCATAGTTACTCTACTCACCTTAATGGGGCTGGTATTACTAAAACAGTTGTTTTGTTTTTCCACAGCCAAGTGCACCTACATGGGCCAGATGTTCTCTGAAGGCCAGCGCTTCTTATCCCGGAGCTGCAGGGAATGCAAGGTAACTCTTTTTTCACATCAAGCATTTCTTTCTCCAGCCTCAGCGTCCAGATCACCGTGCAGCACTTTCCCTTCAGCGTAAACGTGTAAGGATTGTGTGAGGTGGTCTGCTCTATGTGTTATTCAATTAGTCAGCAGGTCTTATTAGTTTTCCCTCCCTATCCCGTTCCATTCAATCTGCCTTTTTCCTCCCCTAATTAGTAATTAGAATAACTTATGAATTCAGCAACACAAAGGACTGATTTGAATTGGGGCTTCATCACTGCATGGATTATAATTAAAGTCATTATTCCAGTTCAGCGTAGAACAGAGGTGAGCTTTCTCTACTCAGAGGCCGTTTATCTTTAAAGAGAAAAAACATCTTTTGAGGAAAACACACCAGCGGTTTATGTGTGTAATTGCTAACAAAGAGCCAAGATGTGGATTCGTCCGCTCATTATTAGCCCTGAGAGACCCTGAACCATCATTATGTTGTTTACACGCTTTGTTTCAAGCAATTAAAAGCATCCTTTACTTTTGGATGTGACGGCTGCTAAATGACATATTTGTGGACAAATTATATCTCAGCAGAATATGTCAACGTGTAAGTACAGTGAAGACGTGTGTGTGTTTTTAGAGAGAGAGAGAGAGAGAGAGAGAGAGAGAGAAAGAGAGAGAGAGAAAGAGGCTTTAGTCAACCATTGCTTTTAGTTCAGAGGGAGGTTCCCTCTATGGACAAATACAACTTTGCACCTTAAAATAAAAGCCACCAAAAGCTGGGGAATTTATTTTTCTTTATTATTTACACATCAAATTCCTTTTTCTTCCTGTGAGGTAAACTTTAGACTTTCGTATTCATCTTTAAAGGCTCTGACTTATTTTGATCACCATTTTCTATTTCTTACAACAAATAAAGAGAAACCGTGATGCAACTCGTCATTGCGTTTACATTGTGCGCCATTAACAAATCCATGAGAACGTCATACGGTAATATCAGGGAAAATAGAAACAAATTTAATGTGCTGTTCTGATGTTGCATTTAAAATTGCATAGAAAAAGCCGTCTGCGCTGCTTTCGTCGTTTTATCCGAAGAACTCGAGAGGTTGCGCTACTGACACGCCTGCTGTTACCAAGCAACCAAAACCGCTTAGTCTGTTTGACCAAAAGTCAAACAGACTAAATGAACGAAGAAGAGAGTCAAAACAAACATTAATGGATTTCCAGCGCTGTTAAAGACTCTCAGTGGCTTTACTGCTCGATTAGTGTGTGGAAATGAAAACATAACATTTCGCTGGATGTTGTGAAGTCAGTGGAGGTGGAGCTGCTTGGTTAATTCTTGTCACGTGTCCTGCTGCGCACTTGAAAAACCGGTGCACAGGAACCGGTATTGTTATTGGCAATTTTAAAGAAGATTCAAGCTGCAATCACAGGTGTTTAACCAGTAGGGGGTAGCAACACAACCATCTGATAGATGGTCTTGTCTAGTTGTTTTGGCTAACATGTGAATAAACTTTTATTTACACAGACGCAGAGCAACATTTTCAGTCTCTCTCCTGTACATGTTCATGATATTTTGGTCTCTAATGACTCCTGACACATAGAAAAAATTATAATAAGGAGTGTTACAGATTTAATTTGGTACTTCTTAAGGAGGCGTTGTGCTGCTGCTGCCTTGTGTCTGTTTGTTTTAAAATCCCTGGGGAAGATGCCACCAAGTTGTATCTGGTGGCATCTGCATGTGTCTGCACCTCACTCTGTATTCAGACCTGCCTCATGAATGTGAGCCTCGCGGACAGCCTTTACTTCCCACCTCCTCCGTTGTCATGGCAGCCTCATTCAGACCTGAAATATTCAGGTTTTTTTTACACATCTGAAAACATCCTTTTAACTGTCGGTGTGGTCTCATACATTTCAAAAGCAGTGTCAACCTCACCTTGTGATGTTAAAATCATAAGGTTCAAACTGGCAAAACGTAGCCACAGGCCTTTGTGTGAGATAAGAGAGTTGTGAGAATATTTATTAAACCTAAAAAGATAAAATAAAAGCAGGGTTACGTTTGGATTTTTTTTTTTTTTTTGCAGAGCTGTAAAACACGAACTTTTAATATTTCAAACATTTCCCGAATCCAATTTAAGACCTTCAAATAAATATTAACTGATTTACTGTAGCCACTGTTTAATTCAACCCATTAAACAGGAACTTTACTGATTTTCAACCTGTTTATTTTCTAACAATGTGTTTAGTATATGAAGAGAAACTGTTTCATTGAACATCGTGTTGATAGATGTTGAAGAAAACTATATTGGAAGTTTGTTAAATGAGCCTGAATACACTTTGGACACAAAAACAGCGTTTGATAAAGTAGTTTGGCAAAAAATACAAAACAATGCAACGATTTTAGTGGGTTTTCTTTTTCATAATGGGTTGTTTATTTTCCTTGAAATATTTGTTTTGATGTATTTTTGTAGTAAAATATAACTTCTATAGATCAAATTAATTCACTTAAATAAAACCTTACCTTAACGTTTTGTAATTGTTTGCAGCTGCATTAGATTTGCTTGCAGTTAGTGAAAATAATGAAAAATTGCAAATAATATTTTGAAGCTTCATTAAAAATATTTTCATGGTTCAAAAGGTGAAATGTGAAAAGAATTGTATTTGTCCAAATTGTCTGAAAATTAACCGTAGTTAAGTAAACACATGAATAAAATCTATATTCTGCTTCTGTCCTTTCAGAACGGCCTGATGATTAAAGTCACTGAAAGTTGTCCAGAGCTCAACTGCACGATCAGCGAGCAGATCCTTCCAGACGGCAGATGCTGCAATGTCTGCAGAGGTATGTCTCCCTCCGTAATTTACTCTTCACAGTTGCATGAATCACTCTGTCTTTGGACGGGCGTGCACAAAAAAAACCCCTCCTGCCGCTGCGAGGAGCAAACAGCCAGTCTTCCGGATGCTGATTCAGGCTGTGCCTCTGCAATAAATATGTTTCTCTTCCTTTTCAAACCAGTATGAATGCTTCTTGGCTGGAATACCTACCAGAGCAGATTGGTCTGTCTGCTATAAGGCACCTGCTATGCCAATTTGCTTGAGCCCCGCTGCTTTGGCAGGGAGGTACTACAGGGTAAATAGCCACCGGTAATTCAGTAAATACACTGAATAAACAAACTGTAGGAGGCTGTCAGCCATAGAGCCATTATGAGAGGAACCCAGGGCAGATTCTGAGCAGAGGACACTGCAGCCTCGTTTAGGTAAGATAAGCAGCAGGGCCTGGATTCACCGGAAGACAAAAATGTGGGGATGGGAAAAAAGAAAAGGAATATATCTTTTTGGAGAAAAGGGAAGATGAATGAGAAGAGGAGCTGGCAGTGGAGAAAGAAAGGATATAAAGTCTTGCTATGTTGAAAAGAACAGAGAGACTGTAAAGCATTTAAAGCACATGAGAGAGGAGGATGAAACTTAATATGTTGAGAGAACAGTCCAAAGATGGGATGAAGAGAGAAGTGGGGAGAGGAAAAGAAAAGATAGAAGCTGATGAGAATTAAGGAAGATGAGAAAAGGACAAGACAAGATAGAGACGGAGAAGGAAAGCACAGCGGAGAGAGAGGAAGAGTTTAGACTGTAAGAACCAACAATTAAAGATTAGAGTCACAGTTCCTCCTCCTTGCAAAACCTCTTCTCTCCCTCTCTCACCCTGAGGCACTAAAAACTCAGAGCTGCTCATTATTTCCAAATCATCTCCAGACCTCTTCTCCACTTTGTGACTCAGGGCTTTGCCTTTGCTCTGAAATTTACCCGAGCCTCAGTATTAAGTTCACAAAGTCACGCTGGCTCTGTTAAATTGGTAATCATACAACTGTCGGTTGTCAGAGTGTTCACACCCCCTCTGTTTTACTGGGATGGATTTTCCCTGAATCCTGCACATCGCAAATGAAACCTTGGTACAGCTCAGTAGAGCTCAAATCTCCACCAGGGCCCAACAGTCCCTTTAATTTCAATCATGCTGCACCACATTAGAAAGATATCAGTCGCACAAATATGTACGGATGGATCCGCCCCTTTGTCAACGCCAAAATTGAAGTAACATCAGGCCTGGTCTGGATCTGCACCAAAATCTAAAATCGATTTGATACGATTCAGGGGCCAATTGATCGATATGAAACTATATTAAATGCCCCTGTAACACATTGAATTACATTTACATCAGCTCTCCAAAAGCAACTATGTTTGAGATGAGACGAACAGAGAAGCAGCTTCAGTCTCCGTGTGCGTTGCTGATGTGATGATGTCGGTTTTGAGGTGAGCTCCTCCTGCCTGGAGAACGTTGTGACGCCCACAGCGGTTGAGAGCTCCACCAATTCAATCCTGATGTTTCAGGTCATCTGTTACAGCAGCGGTCGCCACACTGGATCTCTCTCCTCCTGAAAATTTAATGAGTTACCCGCATCCGTCTGTTTATTTTGTGTGGTCTTGCTCACAAATAAACGAAGAATGCAAACCAACGAACACACAAACTGAGGTGAAAACATGACCTGCATGGTGGAGTTATGGATCCAGTGTTTATGTCCTCTCAGGACTGTACTTTCCACATACACACATGCACTCACCTGTGTTTTATCCGTCCTGTGACATTACACCATTCTATGGTGTGTGGGGAAGAATAATGCAGACACAGCTCTCTCCACAGTAATGGCTCCCCAGGCTCCCCCGTCTCTCGGGGCTTTTATGTGCCGGCAGTCTGTCACTCATTACAGGACATGATGGGGCGGCATCAGCCTGCACCTACTGGAGACAATCATCTCTCTCTCCGTCTGTGCTTTTACACGACTGATTCTCAGCCCTTCTGTGTCTGTCTTGTCACATTTTTGTGCACATGCAGGACTTCTGTGTGGTTTAAAGAAGCGTGGTGGCACACGGGGGTTGCAGTGTTGTGGCACCAGTCCGACACAGTTTGATTCCTGGCAGCAGGACGTGAAAGCCTGAAAAATCTCATTCTCATGGAGATGTTTCTCGAAAATAGAATCCCAAAATACATCTGCTGTTGTGGAAGTGGAAAATTATGGAAGACAACCTATCAAAATTGTGTAAAACACAATGTTCACACACACTGAGATGTTGATACACGAGCAACACGTGTTTTTATGTACTTTTCTATTCTTTGTGTGAGCGCATGCTTTCATGGAAAACAACACTATCGCTGCACCACATGGTAAACATTATAAATCAGACGTCTTGTCATCCACAGTATTGTTGCTGTCAGAAACAAAGTTCCTCATTTGTGCATTTGTTAGCTTTTTGTCTCTGTGTACAGTTGCGTCTTTGTGTACAGAATATTTCTCTGCCGTCGGCGTGAGCAAATGTTGAGACCAAAGTCAATCAACCCTTCCTTTGCCCCTCTCTTTCAGGTTATGACTTCTGCGCAGAGGGACTCATTTGTGGAGAAAACTCGGAGTGCAAAAACCGGAATACTAAAGCGGAGTGTGAATGCAAGAGCGGCTATGCCTCAATCCACGGGGACTCCACTTACTGTGAAGGTAGGACTGAAGCGTACCCAGCTCAGGCTGAGACGAGGGTCGTGTGACTGACTCATTATGTTCATTAGGTCTGGAATCATGAATTATGAGAAACGAGCAAATGAATATATTCCCTGGGGTTAGAGTTTGTATATTTGGTCCATTAGTTATATTTTACGTCATTGACGGACATTTTAAGATTATACAACAGTTTTTCTAACTCTCATCTGTCTAATTTAAAAAATAGTCACAATGTCTATATATATGATAATGCAGCTATAAGCTTGATTGTATGATGCTTTGACTTGAAGATCTTGGCCTTGTTCCCTTGATGGCTCAAGCCACATACGTTAATTCGCTGCAGATATATACATGTAACGCGACATAATCAAGGGTTAAGAGACAGATTCTGAGAAGAATCACATTCAAGAGCTGCGTAGTTGTTGGGAAAAAAATACGAGAATAGAAAATAATGAGGAAATGTGAAGAGACGATGCAGATTATTTCTGAGAAAGTTTCATTGTCATCCAGGTCAGTGTTTCTAAATTGAAATAACTTGACTTCAAGTAACTCAGTTGTCTTTTCATGGAATTAAAAAGTGCAGTAACAAAAGAGAGGTCTGTATTTTGTGTTTCCTGGAAAACATGATCTGAGTTTGGAGACATAAGATCTAACAGTGATTCTGTCCTGTCCTGGATTCTGGAAGTGATGAGTGAAGCACTCAGTCTTTCAGACTAAAGGGACGTGTGATAGTGCTAATGTCCGTATTTGATAAAGAGGCTTGGGAGTGGCAGTCGGCGGATCGGAGGATTTGCTCGACGCTCAGTTGTCTTTGGGCCGGAGCCACGACGCGTTGAATACACTGAACGCGCTGAAAGCTGCGTAGCTGCAAGCCCGTCAGTCTGTTCGGCTGTGTTTGATCTGCATGGTAAAGAGGTTTACCCAGAGCTCCACTCCAATCCACTACCGTCCCACACCATATGAGCGGGAGCCTGCTAACGCCGTTGTTAGATCAACTTTTAAAATTGTGCAGCCGCGGCTCTATTTGTTATGGCGGCATTATCCACGTTTGGGGGGCTGCTCCCTTAAGGCAGCTCACACTTCTGTTGTAAGTGGATTAGCTGGAATCCTGCTGTACAGTGTGGTGATATTTGACATGGATTCACTGTCACCTCCAACGTGAATGGGTTTAGGAGAACATGCCTCACGGAGCAGACGTGGTTTTATTTGAGATATAAACAAAGCTGAACAGTGTCACTGATATCTTAGTAGATGTTTTACAGAGCGAATTAATCCCTTCTGTTGTCTTTTATTAACAGGGGATCTTCCCTGGCTTTTCTCTCTGAGCTGTCATGAAATGTGATTATTATTTCCCCTTAAAAGTTTTAATAAACGGCTGAATGATTGAACATGAGATTATTTACTTCTAATCAGAGCGGGTTGTCTAGGGAGGGAGCTGAGGATTTCAGCTGAGTCTTATCTGTGCCCTGAGCCTCTCGCTCTGTCACCTTGTGGCACCAAAATGACTCTCTCCCTCTCCTTAAGGGAACGAGGTGTATCATCTGTTGTGAGATGTTATATTGGTATTTCTCTGGGCTTAAAACAGGAGGAAGATTTCTTCTAATTCTGGATTATGTGTTTATACTCGAGTACGCCCAGATATAAAATTCTACCAACACAACAAGATGGTTAATGTAACATTGCAAACCTGATAACATCCAGTGCATTTTACTTCTGAGCCAAATCAATGTTAATTAAATAAATGTGTGGCACAGTGGTTTGGTGGGTGTCACTGTCATTAAGAAGTTCCCGGTGGGTGGGTTTTCTGTGGGTACTCCCGTTTCAAAAATGGTAACTTTATCCAGAAAGTGGTTGAATGTGAATGTTAGCTGTTGTCTAACAGTAGCTGATGTGTTATCACAACATGGTCCGATGTCCCGTCAAACCAGGAAGCAGCGAAATGATAAAAATGTCTCATTTTACAGCCTATGACATGATCCTTTATGAGCATGTGTGCAGAGGAAATGAATTGCCATCGCCTTTTGAGAATGATTAGTAAGCAGCAAGTTCCACCAGAGCCATTTGTTTGAATTTCACCCAATATGCGCAGTGAAGTAGTGCTGAAATCCTCAGCGTTTGATTTTAATTAGAGAATATGTGAAGTTGTAAGATCGTCTTTAAATGGATTTGGACATTTATCCACAACCCATGCAGAGAGTGAGTTGAATCCAGCTGTGCCACGTGCATTGCCTGTGCTCCAGTTTCACCAGATTTATGACCCTGATAAGAAAGGCTGGGATCTTTGATTATTTTATTTGGTGCAAGAAGCCTGAGGATCTGCAGCATGTTGTCTGCTGCCGCATCATGTACGACACAGACCTGATGTCTGATCACTAGGACGTGTTGTAGGTTTTAATATTCAAAGCAATCTGCCTGATCTCAGAAAAACCGCAGATGTGTGTGATATGCAAACGTGTAAAAACACAAACACAGACTAATGATGGTTTCAGCCGCTCTATCCTTCCCACCAACGCCTGCATGTCTATCTATTCCATTAAAGATGTATCGCAGCATATGGGCTGACATCTTTCTAGATTTAAGAGATGAGTCCGGTCGGAGGCAGCGCTGTGCGTACTGGATGTCAGGACAGCTGCTCCTCCTCTCTGCAGCTCGGGAAATACTTTCTAATCCAGCGAGGCCTGAGAGAAGACGGTGGTCGCTATTGATCCGTCCTGTCAACACTCACCAACTCAAAGGCTCCAGCAGGGCTAACTGCTGCCTCGCTGGCTCGACTGCTGCCACAGAGTGAGGACATGAAGCTCAGGAGGCAGAGCTTCAGCTGGGCCGCTCTGCATGAAGTGAGTGTTTCTCTAAAGGCCATGTTCTCGCCACAGTTACCTACATGACCTTTAGCTTTGCTTCCATTAGCTTGTTTCGTGTCGTTTGAGGTGTATGAGTGATGTAGATATAAGTGTGTATCTTATGTGTAGCTTGTTATATCATAGCCGTGGTTTGCTTCTTATAGTTTTACTTTCTGACCTCGGTTATTAAAGCAGTTTTCTGGAAAGTTGTGATTCTATAGATACAAAGCTTTTATTCGTCAAAGAGCCTGATCGTCTATTTTCTTTGTTCAAATTCTTGTTTTCTGTGTATTAATACTTTTTTGTATGAACAATTATGGTTAAACTGTGACTTATGAAGCTTCACTTACATTTCTCTGTTATTAGCTTTTGATAAGACTTTGCCAATTTATTTATTTTTTGATACATATATCCCTGTATTGGAAATATTTTGGCATCAGCCCACAAAATCTATATCAGTCTTGCTCTAGTTATATTTATTATAATGCATCATAAACAACAAGATCATTTAAAGTAAATAACCAAGGTGAAGGTGCATTTTTTTTTGCAGCCACTGTTTTTTTTAAACTTGCTGCTTTGTATACATTTTTTTTTAGCATTGTTGTTATTAGTTTACGTCTCTTATCCAATGTCGTCGACGAAACCATTCACAAGTTAGTAAATCACAACCACAGCAGCATGATCTCACTCTCATGTTGTTGTAACAGCATTCGGTTTGTATAGCGTCATTGCTGCTGTTTAGTCTTCTGCATTACTGGAACATTACTGGAACATTTAAATGCTGGTTTAGGATTTTGGAGATAATCCTGTGTATAATTCCATCACAGACCACTGAGGCTGAACTACTTAGAGTGTATAAGCATCAAGGTCTCTCTATTAGGATGCCATGTAACACAGCTCTCAGTAGCTTGGGAGAAAAGATTATTTGTACAATCAGATGAATCCTGTAAGAAGGGACTAATTATAAATGATAAAAAAAACACTGAGAACATCCTGTGGGTTGTGTTCTTGTTCCAGCTCAGTGTCACACCAGTGACCAACTGACCCACTCAGTGTGCAAATGGACGTATTGTCCTCAGCAGCTTTTTGTTTGTCCCCTCAGAGCTGCCGTATCCTCTCAGCTGCCTGCGACTCCGATATGATCACTGCTTTTTAATTGCATCCTAAAAATGATCTGCACTGTTGAAACACTGTGGGTCAATACCACTCACACTGATGCTCTAAACAAAGAAAGTGCTGGACCTGCTGATGTTGAAAATAGTTGCATCAGCAGAGAGCAAACAACATAATTCCCTGTTTCCTCCCCGAGTGCTGCAGGGACCCACCCCCCAACAGGCTGGTTGTTCCCCGCAGAGGGCTGCTCTCCGGTTTCTCCTTTGTCTGTGGTGGGTGAAATCCCAGCGTCGGTCTAATGCCGAACCGAAATGCACCAAGATAGTGCACATCTTTCTTTCATATGTTCTCAGCTTTATATGGACATATTTCCTCAATATAACCAAATGATCTCCCACTCTACAGCCTCTCAAGTGCCTCATCTGCACGCTTCCTTCCTCCTCCATGTTTCAAATTAAAGGCCCCATCAGCACGGCTCGTCCATGGAAATGTTTATGGGTGAGCACATTAGGGAAAAGTGAGAGCCGCTCGGAAGAGATGCTCAAGTCAAATTTCCACAAATGCGGAATTGAAGCTGATTTCCATAGAAGTGGTCTCAGGAGGTTATTGTGGAGAATTCTCCTGCCGTGAAGAACCCTCGTGGGTCACTCTGCCCACGTTAATGGACCCATTAGCTCCCGTTGTGCCCTGTAACTCTGCAGCTCTAATGTGGAGCTCAAACACTCACTTGCCCTTGTTTTACTTGTAAAGGTGGATTTGTTTCACCGCTTCACCGGCTGCGTACTGTGTTTGGAGCACAATAGCAACGTTTAATTTGGCTTAATTAACATGCATTCAATCAAATTCGTGCCACAACTCCCTCTCTCCCCTTCACATTTCTGTCAATTACCAGCTGGGGCTGCATTCTTCTGCGGTTTGCTGCGACCCACAGTTCAGTTTTTTCTTCCTTTCTGCTATGTGTAATAAGATTAGATCCCAGTGCTGGGCCAGCACATCAAACCTAACAGGGCTATTTCTGTTTGTTCAGCTTACTTTCATTTAGCTCCG